GCTGTTGCTAAGCCACACTGTCCCGCAGGACGTGGCTTCTGTCTCAGTGAGTGAAGGGGAACGGCGACCAGGGGTGTGGGGAGGACGAGTCCACACCGACAGGGAAACCGAGTCTCCAGGCTGGCCCACACCCTCATTTCATCGTGAGCGATAGCGCAGCCCGGCTGATGTGAAATGGGATGAAGAACTTCAGACCGGCACGAATATGGAATGCACACATTGCTCTGCAGATGCCTTTTTCCCCCGACAGGCTGCTGCTGACTTTAATGTGGAAGAAATCCATTTTCATACAAAGGTAGCCAAGAGTGACAGGAAATAGGAAGCCCACACCATTTATCTTCTGTGAACTTAAAAAAAAAATCACTTAATTGCTTTTCTAGGAAGCTATTTTGTAGAATCATGGTACTTTATCTTTCTGCTCTTATTCTTGGTATAAATGGTGATTTTAAAATGACCATTGTGAAAATGCGATGATTAACCAATACGTTTTAAGCTATTTAATTACTTATCTTAACAAATAAAATTCTGATCAACCAAAAATGGTTACTCTGTTCTTATGGGTGAATTCTAAAACTCCTAATACACAGTCGATTCACTGACTTTCACCTTTAGGTGTTTCTCTCCCGGTTTCCTTCCTTCCCTGCCTTTTCAAGTGCTTCCATTTTCAGCCATCGGAGCCTCTGCAAGAGCAGTTTCGGCCCACGTCTACCTATTAGATTAACAGCTGACGGCCTGACCCGTGTGTTTTGGAGCACCACTGCTGAAATGATCTCGCCCAACAGTTTCAGAGCCTGTGAGAACACCCGATGTCTCAATAGCACTGCAGACGAGACTTTTCCACAGTGTTGTCTCATTTTCTACCTCACCTGGCATTAGACATTATTTTTAAATTCCACAAAGTTTGAAGCTATATAAAGCACTCTTTTCACATCTAAAGTTATCAGTTAAATAATAATTTATTATTATTCCATGAGCCAAAGACAGATCCACTGAAAAGCTGGTGACACATCAGCTTCAGGGCCTCCTGAGCAGAGGTTTCTCCAAGGCCCAGGAGGGCCCTAGGAATGTGCGAATATATGTTCTTGTAACAATTTCAGGAGAAAGGTATTTTTTATTCTGTTTTTCCTAAAGAGAACCCCCACCACCACCAAGACAGTGTCATCTTTAGGTCTCCCAAAACCTGTGTCTGGCCCTCCAGATAAACAGTCCCCCATCATCTGAGTCCTGAATTACATGTTAAGGGCAAAACATTAATTTTGTGTTTATGTGTGAAACAAAAAGTCATTCACTTCAATTGGAAGTAAGATGTAGTGTGCCCTACCCTAGAACATTCTAGAATGCATGTTCCAGTCATTCGTGAGGTTCTCTGACTCTCACCTAACAGTAGTCACCCTTCCAAGTGATACTCCAGGGAAGGCTCACTTAATGAGGGGTGGCATCAAGAGTAAAAGACGCAGCTATAACAACAAAAACATGTTTTTCATTAAACACAAAACTGAGCTGGGAAAAACCAGCCCGGAGGCAGGTGTATCAGTTAAGGAATTCCCTTGAGGTCTGTAACTTCCACATCAAATTGCACTAAATTTTTCTACACTAATTACCTATTATTGAGGACTAAAGAATTATAAGAAATAACTCACCACGGCAGCAGACCGAGTACAGATGTTGTGAGGGACGAATGAAGGATTTACAAGTGTAAAATCGGGAAAATAGAGTCACCAATTCTCTATTGTTAAAAATAACAGAATGTTTTCCTACTACAAGGACTATGAAGGTGAGAGAATTTTCCTAGGGCAAGACAGACGATTTTAAATTTAGTTTGGACTTTAAGTGACAGAAATTACCAAGGAAAAGCTAAGTGCTGGCACCTAATTTATTCAATTGCTATAAATTTCTTGGAGGCAGAGACCACATCTTAGCTTTTTAAAAAATATTTTTCACATCAATTATACCTAGTCCTTGACCTGATTCTTCTCAGGAGGAATGTGCCTATACAACGCCATACAGCTATACCTGCACCTTCCCTGTCTTTGTCATTTTTACCTAACACTTCCTTTTAGCTCCCAAATTCTTCACACTGCCCTAAGTCTTGCTCAACAGCTAACATCCTGAAAAAGTATAGTCAAGATACACGTTCCATTCAGATCATTTCTTCTGTCAATTTCCCTAAAAAACACATTCTCTGCTTCACTGGAGATCAGTCAACTATTTATAGAGGATATTTTATTTTTTAAATTATTTTATTCTCTACAAAAAATAAAAGCAAGTATTCCCTCAAAAGTAAAATCTGATTGGTTTGATAAAATTCTTCAGTTTCTATGTTAAGATTGTGGATTATATGGAATTCCCTAAAAATAATGAATGATATACCTGCCAAAAGGTATTTCTTAATTTCTTAGAGTAATGTAAAAAGAAACAAACAAAAAAAACACCTTTGAGTTTGAAGGTTGGGAAATATAACTTACAACTACCACCCTGCTACTAACTGGAAAGAGCCATTTTGTTAGTATGATAGTGGGCTGATTAAACATAGCAGTATTACAAGATTCAAATTACCACATTTTCCATAACATGCGATGCTTTCTACTAAAATAAAGACTGCATCGCGCCCCCCCCCCCCCCCCCCCCCCCCCACACACACACACACACACACACACACACACACACACACACACACCCTGCTTGCAGCCAAGGCCTATGGAGACAAACATAAGCAATGGATTGGTGGATCATTGGAGCTTCAAGCAGGTTGCTGAAATCCAAAGGAAGATAGTCCTGACAAAAACACCCCCCCCCCCCCCCCCCCCCCCGCCGCTGAAAAATCCACCGATTACAACTTTGTCCTATCAACAACACTTTTTCTTACCTCTTCTCTATCAATGCATGATTACCCTCTTTGAAGTGTTTAGCATAGAATGTTAGGAAGAAGCAAGCTGACTGCATATGACATTACACGTGGGGGAAGTGAAACACTTCCTGCATAAAAGCGCTAATTTCTGTCGGCTGACTCTGTCTCAGGCCTTTCCCCGATTACAACTTTGTCCTATCAACAACACTTTTTCTTACCTCTTCTCTATCAATGCATGATTACCCTCTTTGAAGTGTTTAGCATAGAATGTTAGGAAGAAGCAAGCTGACTGCATATGACATTACACGTGGGGGAAGTGAAACACTTCCTGCATAAAAGCGCTAATTTCTGTCGGCTGACTCTGTCTCAGGCCTTTCCCCCCTGCTCTGATTACTGAGCACCAGTCCAGTATGCCATTCTCAATCTGGCATCCTGAAAGTGTCCACGTTATTAATAACATACCCAAAAACCTAAGGCAAACTATATAATTACTTGCATAAGGCTGAACTGGCGATCAAACGCTGGCTTATAACCAGAGCTTTGTCAACTCAATGGGTTCCAAAATAAATAAGTTATTACAGAATAAATCTGAAGTTTCTTTGGTACATAAAAATAATTTTAACAAAGAATCAATTGGGATTGAAATTATAAAGGGATTCCTGATGTTGCAGTCAACTCTGTTCAAGGATACACCATGCTTTTTGTTGCCATTACAGGGTCATTTGATAGTAATAACAAAAATCAAAAAGCTTATTGAATTCAATTTTGTAAGGTGAGATCTATGTGTGTTTCCTACAAGCTTTTAAAACATAAATGCAAAAATGAAGAAAAAAACATAAATGCTTGCAGAAGTTACATTTTTGTTTCTATTAATTTCTAATGAACATTTTCTGGGGTCCATCATAAATGAATTATCAAAAGATGTTACTGGTTCCTGGTATAATTTCCTCATTACAACTTGTGTAAATATCTAAAGTAAAAGAAAAAAGTCTTGTCTAATTAGGTAATATATTGGCCTCCCAATTGGTGCATGGCGCTTTCTGAGATGATAGCTCAGAAATGGTTAAGCTCAGCATTGTAGGGCATTCAAGAAGATACGTTAAATCATCTGCTTCATTTGGTTATGAGATCAAATTAAGACACAAAGACTAGTCTGGCCACAGTGTTACTCTATCTTTAAAAAAGAATGTCAAAAAGAAAAGAAAATCTTGAACAGTTTCTAAGTACAACATTCCAGAACTCACATTTATTTCAGTTACTACACCTTAATCAGAGTAAAATAAAACATGTGCAGTCATATTTCTTATTCCTGTGCTCTTGACAACTGTCATCAATTAGAAATATAGTATGAGATATGCTTCTCTAAAACAAAACTTCCTTTTCCACCCAGATTTCTGTTCAAGTTACTAGTCATGGCCTCTTTGCTACCTCAGTGACTATGTGATTTGCTTGTTTTAAATTCTAGTGTTCTATACATCTAATCTTCACACTTGAATAAAGTCACAATGCAAACCAGGAGAATCTGAACTAAAATATTTTGCTCTCTTCATGTAGCCTAAGATAATTTTACAGGACACAGAGAGTCCTTACTTTATTAATTAACACCAATGAACCTGGGTCTTAAATATTATAATAAAGATGGGACATCTGAATATTTACCATAATCAGCATTGAATCATTTAACAATTACTTTCAAAATCATTCAGAAGTTTACCTTGTAAAGTTTGTCCTGGAACATTCCAAAACTGACCAAAATATTAAATATCTGAACTATTTTACATAAAAATTCACCTCTTTACATACCAAAAATTATAGTTTGTGAAGTACTTTCACTTTTAATATTTAATATCTCCATAATACTGGCTTGTTTATAAACTATCCCCTGAACTTCATTCAAGGAGATATTCCTTCCTGAACTAACAGAGACACACATACAACTACATTTGTTGGAACTTAACAAGTCTGCCTGTAATCAGTTGATTGTAAGAAAGCATTACTTATGCGTACATCCTCCCTTACTGACCGCTACAAATCCTACCACGTGAAGGCAGTCACACACTGAAATAAAGAAACCTGGGAACTGAATTCTCAGCGGTCAGGTGGACACGCAGAACCACGCAGATGCCCGTAGTAGTCATGAGAAAAGACTCACCTCCGATGGCTTGGGGATGCTGAACTTGGAAAGCTTGGCCTTGGCTCTGGTGGACTCTGGCTTGGCGGCCGGGACGCCCCTGTATGACGTGCAGTGCACGCTGGTTTCCGTGGACGACTTAAGCTTCGGAGACTCATCGGGAGCCTGATCTTGGCCATCCATCGGCCGCACGTAAGCGGTCGGTTTCTGCTGGACCAGGCTGGGTTTGGAAGCCAGGGATGGAGGAAAGTTCTGAACACAGTGTCCACTGCCGCTGTGCTTGGCTGCCATAGCGGGTGGTCTTTCCTGGGTCTGAAGACCCACCTCTACATTGCACACCTGTTTGGCCCGTGGCTGCTGCCTGCCAGCGCCATCTCCAAGCAAGGTCCTGAGAGAGCTCTGTTGTGCTGAGTTGGAAGAAGAAGGAGAGGGGGGTGAGGGTGAGGGGCTGGACACACAGTGGTTAGACTTTTGACTAGGGTTCTTTGGAGGAGCAGATCTGGTCAGATCAATCAACCTGTGTCCGCGCTTACTTGCTCTCTGTGGGCCGTCGGGAGGCAGGTGCCCAGCCTTCTGCCAGCCCACGGTGCCCCTCTTACTCTGCTGCCCGGGGACAGCCGCTGGTGTGGAAGATGCAGTGCTGCACACAGAGGAGGCCTGGGGCTGGGCTCTTGAATCTGCAACAAAATGTTCCTCGATCTTGTTCACAGCAGCCTGAGGAACCCCAGGTTTGGGAACGCCAACGAGATGACTCTGATTAGATCTATCAGTTAAAAAGTCCTTCATTTCATCGTAATTGCCTAACGTATTCTGGATCCGGTTGGAGAGCTCATCCCCCTTGTTAGTCTGGAGAAAGAAAAAGCACAGCCTGTTGTTAGAGACAATGGGAACACGGCAAACAACGGCGAGGTGCCATTATCGACCACAGAGCTGCCACATACAGAACGGGAGCTGGAGATGAAATCTAAACCGTCATCTCTGAAGAAGTCCGCCAGCACTCACTGCACACCAGGCCCAGAGAGCTGGCCGGGGCCGTGGCTGCACAAAAAGGCGCCTGTCCTGGGGCCTGTGCAGCCTCTGAGGACGTGCAAACTGCACTCTTGCACCTCCACACCATGGTCCGACTGAGGCTCTCCAGGAGGGGACTTCTTCCTTTTTGTAGTCCCATTGGAAGCTTTTCTTACAAATTCAGATTTGGCTCAAACTGTTCTCTTTCCAGTTTCTAACTATATAATTATTCTTATCAGAAACCCAGAGTGGCAGGCGAAAGAAGTTAGAATGAAGTTTAAATGAACATAGGCTAAATATGCAAGAAGCTACGAGCCTAAACTACACAAGCTCCATGCGGCCTGAGATACTGGGATGACATTCCATTTCGGAAGAGTGGTTATATTTCTGGCCTTTGGTATAAAGGAAAACCAATCCAACAGTTTCTTTCTTATTAGCCCTATCAAGTTACCCTGGGACCAGCATGATCCACGTGTGACAGATATGTAACCCAACCTCTTTTAATAGTGTTTGTTTCCTAACACCTTAGAGAATATAACAAATAGCACTGACTTTGAAAATCAATGCAGAGATGACATATGTGTTATTGACGAAAATTATAGCAAGCAGATCTCAATACTGACACCAAGATTTGTGGGGGAGGCCCCCATTCTTAGTGGCAAGGTTGCCTTCCCTCGGCTGAACAGGCAGAAAACTAACTGGAATTGGATTAGGCGACTCTTCTGGTCAAGACTGTCATCCCGGGGTTAGAGGTGCCAGTGGGCGAGGGGTGGAGATAAACAATGGAAAACCATCTACCTTGTAGGGTTCACTGAAGAGGGAATAACTGGAATTAAATGTGCCATCATCCTGTTGAGTCTCCTGATTTCTCCTTTCTCGTTCTTTCCTCCGTAACACATTTCTATCTGGTTCATAGACACTGCATCAGGAGAAAGAAAAGAGAATAACTACACACAAACATTAAAGGCTAACGTCCAGCATGACATTCACCCAAGTGCAGAAGTCTGGTTCACGGACAAATGGTGATGATGACAAGAACATGGATCCGGTTAAAGCTAGTCTAACCAAGGAGTGCGGGCTCAGGTGTCGGATAATTACAGTCTTCGGAAGGAGAAAAGTCCTGAGGACAAGTCCCAGCCAGCGCCAGACCTCTCTGCATGCCCTGTGAGAGAGGAACTGTCTAAGCAACTTTGACAGGAGAAGGCTGAGAGTAATCTTAAGGCAGACGGTAATTACTGCAATGTGTAAATAGAAATCACAAGCACATTTCCTCCTATGACATGGTCCCCGAGTGTTATGTGGCATGCTCCTGTATCTTCCTTTCTTTTCTTTTTGCATGGCTGTGTTTCTGTAGTGATTCTTTCATTAACTGGCTCCCTAAAGAGCTGTTAAACTCCATGCTGCAGTGGCTTTCACAGTTACGAGCCTTCTTCTGATCTCTGTTAATCAGTCAAGTCGTCAAACTAGGACTGAATCAATTCTTCCTTTTGATATATTTGACACTATCACTCCTCCTAACTATGAAAAATGTGCCAGGAGGAAGGGATACGGGCAACGAAGGGAGAGAGCGGAAATTGAATTATGGCGTGTCATCAAGGAACCCGGCCTTTTGTTGAAGAAAATTAATATCTCTTCTCCTAAAATGCAATTATGAAGTGACCAGACACCAGCTAACTGGGAGGACTGAGAAAGAAATAGTGTTCCTTCCCCCTATTGGGGAGAAAAGAAAGGGCCTAATGTAACTAATAATGAGGAAGGGACCCGTGTAGTGAAAGGAGGCAACACGCTTGTTTTTTTCAGCTCACCAGATAAAGAAATCCGGCCTAGCGTAGGCACAGAGCTCACACTACGGGTTGTAAAGAACCTGTGTGTCCCTCAAAATGAGCACCGTCTTCGTTTCCTAGCAGAAGCATTTAGCTTAAGTGACCTTGCCATCGTTTTGCTTAGAGCTCCCGCTTGGTCCAGTGCGGGCAGATGCTCAAGCTGGAGCAGGACAACTACCTACTGACTGTGGGTCTCCCCTAATCAATAATGTGATGCCAAAATACACAGGCTTCATCTCTCCCCCTACCCCCACCCCGTCTTCATTATAGAGCAGGGGGTTTCACGGTGTGGGGTACATGTTTAAACATGAAGACAGTCTATAAAGAGGGCTTCGCAATGGCTTTTGGTGCCACAGTCCAATGTATAGTCAGCAAATCCTGTTAATAACTATTAATAATGAAAGGATCTGTGGGTCCAAAGAAGCTTATGAAAACAGTAAGGATAACCAATTCTTTAGTTAAACTGTTAACTTGAGTAAAAGAGAGAATATTTGTGTTATGTAGCTGTAGAGGGCACAAATAAAATAATCATAAAATATATATTGCTTATCCTCCTAGCTCTGCCCATGTGGCCAGAATATACTTTAAATTCGCTGTCTCCATGGTGATGCTAGAAATGCTCCGGGCAAGGCTGTGAGAGCACCTAAAGCCCTGCATTTACATGTAAGAGTGAGGGATGTTAAAAAAAACACACAAAAAAATACACACACACACACACACACACACACACACACACACACACACACACACAGAACATGTAGCTCATTCGCATTTTAATTCATCCTTAATAATTTACCCAAAGTTATTAGATTTGGGAGTCCAACCAGTGACCTTCATACAAAGAGACACTGCAGCCACAGCTGACCACCTGAGGGGCCCACAGCGCCTACATCCATCACCAAGCACTGGGGTGGCCCTGGTGGCACTGAATGGCATAGGGAGGCACAAGATGACGATGACACTCTCACAGAACCAGGCTTCCCGTTCAAAGGAGAGGATAGCACGGTCATGCCCTGCCATGGATAGGCACAACGTGAAACCCCAGCTTTCACGATTTCAAATGGAGATTTCTCTAAGGACACATGACTCATGCTATGGATGGACACGATGTGGGCTTTAGCCAACAGAATTTCAGTTTCACTCTGAACTCACTACCTTTTGGACCAAAACCAGCATTTGCAGTAAGAAACAAAAAGCTTTCATTGCATGCATCACCTTCCTCCCTGGCCAGTGCCTACAGACACCTGGGAGGCCCCTACTGTGCTGACCTCCATGCACACAGACCCCCCACAAATATGCTTGCTGTCCTCAGCCAGGTCAAGCCCACCAAACATATAAGACTGGTGTGATGTATGATATGACCATAGGTGACATGGAGCAGGCAGGTGGTCATTTAGGATGATTTGGGGCTCCCGAGAAGGCCCCCATGCCCAAAATAATACCTCCTGCATCGGCTGGTTGACGACTGAAATTCCACGACTAGAGAGTCACTCCTCTGGTTTAAGATGTCTTCACCCCTGTAAGAAACGCAGACACCACAGAAGGGAAAACTTTTAAACCTGACCAGCCCTTGTATCTTAGCGTGTGTGAGCTGGTCTGCTTTTTGCCCCCGAGGGCCAAGTAGAGGGCACAAGGACATCAGGGTGCAAAGGGAGCCCAAAAAGGAGGCGTTATAAGAAAAGGGAGGGAGTGTAGCAATGAAAACAAATTGATTAACCCCACCTATTAGCGACCTGGCTTACATGCTTAAGACGAAGACATCAGGATAAAAGCCAAAATCAATTAAGCAGATACCAGACTCACTGCATCTCTAGGGTCAGGGGAAAGGATCGCTTCCCAATATGAAGTGAGAGGTGAAGAGGACGCTGCTCCTCCTTAACAAGATTTGCCTCACTCCCCAACCCCTTGAAGCTTGAAGGTCACCCAAAGCACCCCAGGGTGCAGATCACTGCTAGCTAAAGCCTCTGATGGGGTCCTGCCTGTATACCCGGCCTATGCCTTCTAATACTAAAAAGGACTGGACACCCTCAGGACCACCTGCACATAATATACCAACAGAAATGCACTGGCCATCTTTTTTTTTTTCTTAATTTTTACAAGATCCTCACCCCAGGACTGATTCTTAGGCAAGAGTGGTGGGGCGGGGGGAGGGAAGGGATAGAGAGGGAGAGAAATATCGACAAGAGAAACATCGATTGGCTGTCTTCCTGTATGTACCCTGTCCAGGGATTGAACCTGCAATCTTTTTGGTGCATGGGATGACACTCCAACCAACTGAGCCGCCCGGCCAGGGCTGCACGGACCATCCTTTATGGGACCACCACAATGTGGTGTCTTGCAGTACCCTCCACACCATCAGATGAAAAACAAATGACCAGAATCATCCCCCAAGAAGAGGGGCAACACGTCCTCAACGCCTCCCTCTCCAGTGGTATCTCATCTCCTCCCTTAGTAAGCAGCCCTGTGGTCTCCACCGAGCATTCAGCTCTTCCCAAGCCACCCACCCTTATCTTTCACTAGAACCACACCCCCACGTGCCATGTCAGCCTAGGCAGCTGTAATGCCACCTGCTTAAAGCAAATGTCATTGTAAATGGAAGCCTGGACTTGCCATCCCCACCTCTCCCTCAGCATCCGAACTTCGATCTCTTCTCCCAATACTAAACATTTTGACTCAAAAAGACAGTATCTTCTAGACAGTAAGTCCACGGACCCACTAATTACAGGTAAAATCTGTGCAGGCGTCCGTAGTCCTAGAGGATGCCTTTCTTTTGATCTGTTGCCATTAACACTCAGCCCTCTTCCCTCCTCTGGGTTCACACAATGTGAGGACCACGCCATTTGCTTTATTTTTGTTGTTGTTCAGCAGTTTATTTTGTTCATGAGATTCCACATACAAGCGAGATCATACAGTATTTGTCTGTCTCTGACGGGCTTATTTCCCTTAGCGAACCTTTCCCATGACAGGCTGACAGGCCAGCCTCACTGCAGACTGAAGCTACGAAGAATTCTGAGTCCTGGCACGCCACTGTACACGCTAGACTCAGTCAGAGCCTCGTGTTACGAGCTGTGTTTCTTTGTTACTAGCAGATGGTAAAATTTCCATCATCTGTAAAGTTGTTCCTGATTTCTGTGAAAATTACAAGAACTACACTCTTCAAATGTATGTCACCAAATGTATTCATTCATTTTGCATGAAAGTGGAGGCAGCCAACTGCTACAATGTTATTTATTATTTATTGCAGATGTATAACATTCCAGAAAACGAAGCTTTTTAATAAACTCCTTTCAAAAAAACACTTATTTTTAGAATTAAAAAATGAACAATAAAAATGTAGTAAAAACTTCCTGGTCATTTCAATTGATTTATTTTCATCTATATATCGAAGTATGCTGCAGGACTCAGGCAAAAGTCAACTGTGCCAGTTAAGTAGGAATAGATGTTCAAACGTGATCTTATCGTCATTTCCAACATTAATGTAGTCTTGACCATATGGTAACAGTATGGAACTAAATAACAGTAATAACTTTGAGCCTAATGGCTTCTCCCTTCCACTGAGTTCAAAACACTTCACTTACCTGTCCCCTAATTATCCTTACACTGTCCCTTGGAGAAAGATAGTGACAGTAGATATTGCTAGATTAACTTTTTAAAGATCAAGAAACTAGGATAAAAGTTTGATCATTAGTCCTAACCGGTTTGGCTCAGTGGATAGAGCATCGGCCTGTGGACCAAAGGGTTCCAGGTTCAATTCTGGTCAAGGGCATGTACCTTGGTTGCGGGCACATCCCCAGTAGGGGGTGTGCAGGAGGCAGCTGATCAATGTTTCTCTCTCATCAATGTTTCTAACTCTATCCCTCACCCTTCTTCTCTGTAAAAAATCAATAAAATATATACTTTTTTTAAAGTTTGATCATTAAAATGATATCATAAAGAAGACATTATTTGCCAGTGATACATCTGATAAGGGGTTATTTTCCAAAATACATAAAGAACTCATACAACTTAACAAAAGGAAGACAAATAATCCAATTAAAAAGGGGGAAAGAACCTGAATAGATACTTCTCCCAAGTGGACATACAGAAGGCCAAGAGACATATGAAAAAATGCTCAAAATTACTAATCATCAGCGAGATGCAAATCAAAACCACAATGAGGTACCACCTCACACCTGCCAGAATGGCTACCATCAACAAATCAGCAAATGACAAGTGCTGGCGAGGATGTGGAGAAAAGGGAATCCTAGTGCACTGCTGGTGGGAATGCAGACTAGTGCAGCCACTGTGGAGAACAGTACGGAGTTTCCTCAAAACATTAAAAGTGGAACTGTCATTTGATCCAGTGATCCCACTTGTAGGAATATATCCTAAGAAACCCGAAACACCAATCAGAAAGAATGTACGCACCCCTATCTTCATAGCAGCACAATTTACAATAGTTAAGACCTAGAAATAGCCCGAGTACCCATCAGCAGATGAGTGGATAAAAATACTTGGTATATTTACACAATGGAATACTATGCAGCTATGAAAAAGAAGGATCTCATATCCTTTGAGACAGCATGGAGGGAGAGTATTATGCTAAGTGAAATAAGCCAGTCAGAGAAAAAAAAAGTATCATATGATCTCACTTATATGTAGAATCTAAAAAAAACAAAATAAACTGACTAATAAAATAGATCCAGAGACGTGTAAACATGAAAGAGACTGATGAATCACAGAGGGAAGGGGATGGGGGGAGATCAACCAAAGAACTTATATGCATATATGCATAACCCATGGACACACAATAGTGCAGTGAAGGCCTGGGGGCGAGGGGTGAGGTGGGAGCAGGTTGCAGGGGGTCAATGGGGGATAAAAGAGCACATCTGTAATACTTTCAATAATAAAGATAAATTAAATAAATAACATTATGCAAAAGGAACAGCAATATCTACAGTTCTTTCTTCCTGTCTGTCCAGGGAAGAGGAGCTGCCCATGAGCCAAGGGAGGCCACACTTGCTACACCCTGATGTCTACAAGCCCAATGTTCACAAATAGAGCTAATGAGCCCCATGGCAGCAACAAAGGACACGCAAAGCAAAGGGAAGCTCTTCCTCATGCAGAAAGAACTAAAAGGAGAATTCTGGAATAAAGCCTGGGCTGTTGTAATTTTTAATACTCCCAAAACAAAAGACAAAAACCAGTCTCTCCACAGCGCACACATGCAACACAGACTACTGGACTAGAGGACAGACAGAGAAGGAACTATAGATTCAAACGCAAGGCAGATGGTAGCACCTTTTTCACCATATCCGAGCCATTCATCAGCCCCGCTCCAACCTTTGCCCGCGCTGCCCTGCTGGATGGAAAAGCTCTGGGCTCATGCGGCCCACCTCCAGCTGAGCCCAGCGCTGACCCAGCTGACCCCGCTGGCCTGGAGAGACAGCTCTCCTCCCTCCTGCGCTGTCCATATGCCGCCATCTGAATCTGAACAGTTGCTCGAAGCAAACTGCATTTGCTGTGAAGGAGGCTTTCTGCCAAGGGTAAACACAGCTAACTGTACCCCTTAACAAGAATCACCGAAGTGTTTTATTCCTTTAAAAAAAATTATCCTACCTACTGGTATATCTCTAGGGTTGGGATCCAGGAACAAGGGAACTCACGGAGAAGAGAATGAACCACCTCTCACCTATTTTGGAAAGAAGTTATGTTCTCCATGTTTAAAAACATTGCCCTCTTCAAACAGCAAATAGAACTACAATTCACTTTCGTCCAAAAGCATTTCCTGAATGCCATGGTGCCAGATGCCAGGGAGACAAGGAGGGCGGTGAGCAGTATTTGCTGCTGCTGAGAAGCTGACCATCCAGGGGTGGGGGGAGGGGAGCAGGGAGACGGGGTGCATGCTAAGCAGAGGCTGTTGACACCAGGTGGCCAGGCACAGGGAGTTAGGATTGCTTCCTGGGAGAGATGGCCTTCGAGCTGGGCCTCAAAAAGAGGGCAGGTGGGGAGAGGGAAGGGAAAAGAAGGGCTTAGGGTGCAGATACGGAAATTACTACCAGTGGCCTTGGAGAGTATTCAGAGGAGGTGAGCCCTGCCCTCCCCATGCCATCGTGTTTCTTTAAACAGAAGTTCCATTTCTCTGATCTGCTCCACTACTGACCTGGCCTGGCCACCTCACCCTACATGTGTATCTGATCCCTTTCTGAAAGCAGGTTTGGTGGGGAGTAAGTAAGTGAAAAAAACTTCCTTTACAGTTTGCATCAGGCCTGGCCCCGAATGGCTTGATCCCAAGGAAGACCATTTTTTCAGCCACGGAGCCGTCACGGTCCCGAGACAACATGGGAAGCTGTCCCTGGGGTGGACCGGCGGCCACAAGGCAACGGGAAGAAGAAGGGCCTGAGTGGAGAAGGGAAGAGGCTTCCCAGAAACTCTGCTCTTCAGAGCAGCAGCAGAGACGGTGTTAATTACAGAGACTCAGACACTGAGAAAGGATAGCAACTGCTTCAAATTGAATGAGTCAAACTAATTAACATCTCTTGTTATTTATAAAGCTAATGATAACAGATCAGCCATCCTTTCTTAAGTCAGAGAAAAGCAAAGCTCCTGAGGTATACTTGCAAATCCTCTCCTCAGTCTCCAGGCAGAGCTGGTGGATGG